GAGCCAACCTGCATGTCCCCTCTGTATGTATGTGTACCAAGGCCTCTTACACAGAACAGGTTTTGTGCTCTAAATAACTATAAGAATATCATAATCTGAAGGATTTGCTACACAAATGAGACATGGGGCAGGGGATGATTGGCGGGGTCTACAACTCTAGGTCAAAGAAGGAAGCTTCCATTTGAAGAGTTCACAAATGGCTTTGGTGTCACATAATAAAGTCAAAAGCACTTGAAACAAACAGCTCAACACAAACTGAATTGAATCCCTATCCAACTGAATCACTCATTATGTGGTATTACAGATGTTCACAGGTCTGTCTTCTCATCAAGACTATACATTCCTGGAGGTGAATGTCTTATTCATTTTCGCTCCCAGCACTCCACCTACCATGCTGAACAATACAGGCATTGATTGCATGGAAGCAAAGCAAATGAGATACAAAAACAGGAAGAAAGGAGGCAAAATCAGAGCAAAAACATAAGAGCACAGCCTAGGCTGGTAAGGAAGAAGGGGGGATGTCCCACATGCAGATCAGAGGTTTCAAGTGAGGAGGACAGAGGCCACCCACAGGCTGCTTCCATTAAAGAGGAAAGAGAGGCTGGTGAGTGGACCTGGAGCATGGAAGCAGAGAATCGGATCTGAAACTGATAGGGCTGAGAGGAATGGGAGAAGGAGGCAAAGACAGGACCAGGAAGACACACAGAAGGGGCTGATCTACCAAGGTCAGAAGATGAGAAAAACGTCTGTACTAAAACCACCAGTGATACAGGGAAAGCGGGAAGATGAAAATACAGTGATACAGTGACTGAGGAGCAGAAGCAAGAGTGCAGAGGCATCAGGAAGAGCTCTTTACTTGGATATTAGTAGAAGCCAGCCCTGTGTGGAGGGAGGCGAGGTCGGCTCTGAGCCCACGATGCTGCCTGGCTCTGCAGCCAGAGTCACCTTTCGTTTTTCTTAATCCTCTCTCCTTTTTCTTCTCCCTCTTTTTATCCACGCCCTCCCTTGTCTCCTGCTGCCAGGAGTATTGGCCCAATAAGATCATGTGCTTCTTCTGGGCTAGTGGAAGAAGCCCATTCTGCCTTTCTCTGCCCGATGATCCCGCCACAGAGACGAATAGAACAGGACTGGTTGCCTTTTGGTGTCTCTTCAAAGATGAGCTTCATGGAACAGAAAAGCAATGACAGGAACCATAAAAAAACCTCCCGGGTCAAGGTGACATGCACATTCTAGTTACTGTGACCTGTAGTCAGCATGTGGATAGCATCGCGTCTAAATTATTACCGATTTAAATAATAACCAAATCGCCGTATGGACTTGGGTGAGGGCGCTCTGGAGGGAGGAAGGAAAGCTGCTAACTCCCAGCCCTCACTGGCTGCGTTTCCTGTCACATCTGAAAACCCAGCCACGGTGGCTGGGACCTAATGCCACACGTTCTGCATAGCCCCATCCAACTGTAAAAGTCTTTCTATAGTAATACGTTGTGGGGATAATTGGATTAACATGCTTTAAGCAGTTAGGGTAACTGAATCCTGTACACTAGTGTGGTGGCTTTTATTATGTAGCCCCAGCACTAAACACGCAAAATGGTATTAAATTACCTCAGATTTGAGGGAGATGCCCCCAATTTTGAAGAGGAAATGATTTTACTCATCCTTTATACTGAAACTTCTGTAAATAAACAGTGTTTGTGCTACTAATATTTTAAACAACTCTAAACCCTCCAATTTGTGAATCATGTTCTAAACCCACTTCAAAAGTAATTCTGTGAATCCTTGCCTGCGATTCAGAGTAAGATATATTACCTTACTCCAAAGAATATGGGTCATCGATAGTATTTAACAAGGTGTGTAATCTTTTCTCAGTAGACACAAATGTTGAAAGGAAATCGCCATTTTAAATAAAAAAATAGAATCTATAATTGTTGCGAAAGTCCAATGTCTGCCAAGTCTGTTCTCAAATTTTGAATGTAGATATTCCTCTAACTTAAAAACTTACTGAATTTGGGCCAGCCGAGTGGCGTGTTTGTTAAGAGCTGGCTTGGGACGCCAGAGGTCCCTGGTTCAGATCCCATATATGAGGACCAGTAACACTGCCATCTACAGCTAAGATGCTGAACAACAGCTAAACCTGGAGCTGGGCTGCTGTGAGTCGCCATCGTCCTAAGACGGCGTAGGCTGCAGCCTCTGCTGCAATGGGTTGCCATGGGCTACTGTATATAGTAGCCAGCTTGAGCGGCCGCAGCCGCTGAGAACAGCCATCCAGAAGCCGGAGACTGATCTGTCTCACCTGGGAAGAGCGCAATGATGGTACCAACTTGGACCAGTGAAGCAACATCCTCCACAACTAGACTGAAGAACAAAAGGACAGCAACTTGTCGTTCCCCTTCCCCCGATTCCCCAGCACTGTTCCCATCCCCCAATTCCCCAATAAAAATCTTAAAAAAAAAAAACTTACTGAATTCTAAAAGTTGGATTGTAAATCAGTTGTGGAAAAAAAGAAAGGTATTTCTCCACATAAGAATTACATACACAATAGTTAGGTTCTCAGGGCAGCCCACAAAAGCCTTTTCAACTTGTGCTCTACCTGAAACAACAGTAAGAATACTGGAGAACCAACGGTAAAAGTGACATCTCTCTGAGAAAGTGCACTTAGAGCTCCCTTTTGGGATGCCAGGAACCGAAAACTCTCCCTTCCCAGCAATGAAAGTAGGGCATCCCCTTGCTCAAAGCAGGCTTCGAGCATGTCCACGGTGTGGGCTTTGGAGAAGGGAATTTCCATGTTGAACATCAAGACTGGGAATGCTACGTAAGGGAAGTAAACACACTACTTGGGCGGAAAGGCTGGGCAGACAATAGTGGGAGAGAGGGCTCCAAGAGGGGGTGCGGGCTTGGGTAGGTGAGCGGAGGTGCTGAAGAGCACGGGCAAGCAGTTCTTCACTCCCTCGTCCCATCTATTTCCTTTGCATCCCAAAATTTCTTCTACTTCTTTCTTTTTATCCCCTTGGAAAGGCTTTGTGTGGAAGGACTAAGAAACTAAGACACTGCACAGCAGTCTCTGTGCAGTAAGAGGAAAGGAGAAGGGGAGGGACTTGCCAGGAAGAAATAAAGTGGAAGAGATACAGCCTTCTATTGCAGCGGTTCTCAACCTTCCTAATGCCGTGACCCCTTAATACAGTTCCTCATGTTGTGGTGATCCCCAACCATAAAATTATTTTCNCAACCATAAAATTATTTTCGTTGCTACTCTATAACTGTAATTTTGCTACTGTTATGAATCGTAATGTAAATATCTTTTCGTTTTCCGATGGTCTTAGGCGACCCCTGTGAAAGGGTCGCGACCCACAGGTTGAGAACCACTGTTCTAGTTGGAGGTAAGGGGTGGGCTGTTCACATATAAGATCTACAGTCATAAATCAGAAGTTTGTCTGTGTGGCTCATACATAGCCCCAAAGAGAAAACAACAGCCCCAAAGTGAAAGAACAATTAGCAAGTTAAATTAACTTGAGTTCTTGTGAATGCTTCCATTGTTAAGGATAATCTTTAAAAACCAAAAAGTATATTAAAAAAATGTATTGCACACCTGTTTGCACTTTGTCAGGCATAATCTCTTCATCAAAGATACTGGGATCCAGAGTAAATATATGCTCCCTTTTTTGGGAAAGTCACACATCTCAAATTCTTTTGCGGAATTTCAGATACAGTTACCAATTTCATACAAGGTAGCTTACTTCAAACAGTTGTGTATCCTTCAAACAAAATTACATCCAAAACTAATTCACTCATCTGTCCTTTCTTTTTACTACTTGCTATAGCTATTAACTAGTGCTCACTCTTTAGCTCTAACATAAGCACAACCTAAAAAATATATATACCTTTGTCTACCTTAAGCTCAAAAGCTTACACTTTCATTAATAACTTGACACACACTGAAAACCAAACTCATAAACAAGAACATTAATTATTTTAAGGAATGTCTGGGATTAGCACCTCTTTCCACAAATTATTTGAATAATAAAATTAACCTCACATTCTTCAAATATTGCACAATTAGAATTTTTTTCTCTCTTTTTTTTTTCTTTCTAGAGACATCTATTTGGTCCTGTTGGGTATAAACATGATGTGAAAGGAAATGGCAAGAGTTAAGCAGTCTCTCTGGGGATCTGCACTATAAATGAGAAAAAATTCCTTTTTCTGTCGCCATTTCTTCCCTGGCAGAACACACCCTTGGAAACACTTGTTTATGTGGGGTCAAAATGGAGTAAGGGAAAGTCTGAGTTGGTAAACAGAGTCCCAGTCTGGGTTTAAGAATACTTTTCCCGGTCCCACTGGGACGTTTAAGGCTACTGCCTTAAATTTGTTTTAATCTATTTTTTCATCCCAAAACTAAGACTTATGTCCCACAGAATATCTGAAAATTCCACTAGGGATTCAGAAGCTATGTAGTATGTAGTGTTCTAAATATCTATTTCACAAGACTCATTTCCAACCTTCATGCAAGCTTTTGGGGACTACACTCAAGTGGACTTCAATGCAAGTTTTAATGGAGGTGTTTTCCTGACATCACGGAAAGTCCAACGGGTCCTCTGGAAGCCTCAGAGGCAGTCAGGGTGATCCTGGCTATTTCAGACCCAGGGCTGTCAGAAGCAAGTTAGGACAGGTGATGTAGTTTTGAGAAAGGTTGGTATAACAATGCTCAGAATCTCTTCTCACTTGACAGAAAACACCTATGGATTTCAACCAGAGAACACATAGCTAGAGAATGGGAAACAAGAACATGTTGTTGTGTCTAATCCTACATATTTAGGACACCTACTCAGTCTCTTCATTTCTGATGATGATCCAAAGAAAGAGTTATCTGTCGTGAAACACATAATGCCCCTTTATATAGATTAGACAACTCATCCGTTATGATTACAATTCCATCTAAATCTCTAAACACAGCATAAGAAACACAAAAATGGCACTTTATTTGAACCTTCGAAATGTTAGTGGCTTTACCTCTGTATTAACAACTTCCATTGGTCTTTTCTTGATTTCTCCTATGTCCAGGTAACTGGGGGAAAAAATAATAATAAGGAATTCTTTTATTGCATTTGAGTCAGTTATGTAAATTTCTTTTTTAAAATTATTAAAAAGTAAAGCAAGCCATAGAAAACACACCTAAAGCAAAAATCAATAGCTACTAATTAAAAGCAATTATAGCAGTAGAAACTGCTTTCAGCATCACCAACCAGAGCTGACATGTGTCTACTCTAAACTTCAATGAAATTGAAGTCTTAAAAATATATATTTCTATTGGAAAACATTTTTCCCCACAATGTTTAGCAACTTACTATATATATGGTATTTCTAATTTTTATATCAATTTGATATAAAGAGTGGTTTGTGTGTAAAGGGGCTTAACAGTTCCATTAATGACAGACTTCAGGTCAAAAAAGTACTGATAGCATACATTAGAATAACAATTGTGAAAGGCTGGGAAACTTCCCCCCCACACACACATCAGAGCACCTAATGATACAGACATGCTCAGCCATGTGGGATGTGTAGGCATTGGTTCAACCAAGAGACAGACGGGTGGATTAGTTAACCTTTGGAGACCCCTATTACTCCGTTACTATTTGCTACAGATATTAAGTAGTGATCATTCTTTAGCTACAGCATAAGCACAGCCTGAAAACGTTATACCTTTTCAACTTTAAGCTATAAGTCCATCATTGTGATCTGGTTCCACTATGCTTCATAGATAGATGGTGCTAAATAAATGCTTTAATAGATAAATAAGTATAAATCTCGCATTTAATTTATAAGCTTAGAAAGATAGATTCTCTATCTCAGCTACCATAATTGCTGAGTTGACAAAAAAAAAAGTTTATATTGAATTCCTTTTGGCTATGTTTCATTATTGTTGTTTGCTTTTTGGACAGAACGCTTTAGTAAATCCATACTTCTGGAAATTATCACATATTTCCCTTAAATAAACAGTATTTACATAAGACAGTGCAAATACTCCCTCTGTTTAGCAATGAATGGCACTTTTGCAAATCTACAAGGCACTGATTTCTGACATAAAAAAAGTTCTAACTGCCATGTGCAAAAAAGCAATCTCAGATCCACAGGATTAATATAGTCAACTTCCAAAAACTCACAGGGACAATAACAATCTCTAGAATTCTGTGCTATAAAATAAAGGTTCAATAGCAACCTGAAGTTTAATTATGGCTTCAAATATATTAGAAAAAATCTGTAAAAGAAATTCAAGCAGTTGATCATTTTCATTTGAAAAATATTTTTCCACCATTGCTATCTTCCTCAACATCATTTAGGCTCTAAATGATATGAATTACCCTTGATATCTTTGGGGCTTTCTTTTGTTCTGCCAGTTGCTTCATTTGTTATATAAACTTAACAACTGCTAATCTTCAAATATGTTCAGCATTGAAATCTTCTTGGCTTCTATCATTATAACCATAGATACTACTACTTTAACACAAATACACTGTTCATCTGTCAGCATGAAAAACTAACCATGGACACCATTATAACAAACTCAGATTTGTGGTGTGTGTGTGTGTGTGTGTGTGTGTGTGTGTGTGTGTGTGTGTGTGTGAGAGAGAGAGAGAGAGAGAGAGAACTAATGCAAAAATAACCATGCAAATCTCTTACATATAAAGAGTGATTTTGAAGTGCACTTTCTATTTGCTTTGGAACTATACCTGTCTTTTTTTGAGTAGGTAGTGCCAAATAAACAAAAGAGAAAATGAATTACTAAAGTAAGTCTACAATTTTGAGCTGTAAATAGATTCTGAAGCAGATTTCCATTCCCATGAAATTGCTTTATACAGAAATTATTTAATAAAAGTAAACAAAGTATATGATAAAAGAACCTGGACATAGAGATGCTTTACATGTTCCCTCCCGCCCGGCAGAGGCCAGGTGGTCACACCTGGGGCGGGAGCTGCGCTGTACGTAACATTTTGATGTTTATAAAACAATGTTCACATCTACAGCATTTACTTTCTACCACAACCCTATGAGGTAGGAATAATTCTGTTCCTTTTCTGTATTAGGAAATGGAGCAGCTAAGTCAAGAAGCTCAGTTTTAAGTTCTAAATTGCTCTGAAATGGGTGAAGTTCACGTTATGTGAGCTATATCTCCATAAAACTGTAAAAAAAAAAACTCAACCTATCAAATATTAAATTCTACCTGTCCTACAATACACACCCCCACCACAAATAATCTCTCTCAACCTTGAACACCCACATAATTTTAATTGTTTTTCTAATTGCATGCATTCCATGTACTCTAAATTAAAATTATTGGTGTGCATGTAATCTTTCTCCTGTTAGATTGTAAACTCCTAAAGAAAGATAAGGAGTCATGTCTTGTGCATCAATGTTGCCTCCACAGACCTAAGCAGTTTGCTAATTCACTAAACACCTACTCCAAGTGACCTCCCTTCCAGGAACTGAGGATGGGCACCAATAATGACCCTTCTCCTTGACGGTCCAGCCACCAGGTACCTGGAGTCAAGCATGTAGACAAACATAGTAGCCAATAAACTTTTCCAAGCATTATGCCAATAGCATAAACATGCAGGAGGTGGGACGTGGGTCACAGTGGAGGGTGGTCCGTTCTACTCGGAATGAAAGGTTGAAAGAATTTTAACAGTATGGGAGTGGGGGATGCAGAGGCCAGTTTTCTCCTCTAGTGATGATATAGTAGTATCCAACATCTCAAAATGATTTTAAACTAAAAAGACAGGTTCCAAGAAAAAGGGGGAGGGAAAGGGGGGAAAGTGAAAAAACAACAGAAAATACTCAAGTATCAATTTGGTCACTTTTTTTTTTTTTAGATTCCTGTTTCTTTTACACAAGTTTTAAGTCTGCTGTTACTGCTACCCAAGAGAAATTCCTTCTCCAGTCACGCTTTCGACCTCTAACCCCAATTGCAGCGGGAGCTTTCAGAGGAATCAACCCGTGCAGACATAGGCCCTCGACCCACTGAGGTTTGGGTGTAGCGGGGGTCATTCCTCTCCTGGTGCCAAGTGCGCGCCTTCACGCACCCTGAAATGGTGGACAGTGGGGCAGACCGACTCACTTAAGTTTTTTGAAGGCTTCCTGGCCCCCAGCCACGTAGTTGCCCCCGCTCTGGATCTGGTCTAACTTTCGGATGCGGTGCCCGGTTCGCGGGGTGTAGAGATTCCTGACGGCCCCAAAGGGTGCCTGGACGCCGCCCGTGACCTCTTTCAGAAACACGTCGAAGGTGGACATCTTCTTCTCGTGGATGACGACGCGGCGCCCCGCGAAGAAGGGGTCCCCGTTGCGATACACCAGCACGCTCTTGACCACCGGCTGGGCACGGTGGCCAGCCCTGGCGCTGGTGCCGCTCATCCTCCCGCCGGCGCGGCGGGCTCGCGCTCAGGGGGCCCCGGGGCGTCACCGCACACGGCGAGTCACCGCCTGAAAGAACGGGAAACAGACACACCACGGATCAGAGCGAGCAACCGCCGAGCGCCGGGCGTGCGCCCCGCGGAGACCCCGCCGGCGGCAGGGCTCGCGGCGCACCCTCGAGCACTTCACCGCCGTCCGCACCGCCCGCCCATCAGCGCCCGCCGCGCGCGCCGCACCTGTTCCCTCCCGCCCGGCAGAGGCCAGGTGGTCACACCTGGGGCGGGAGCTGCGCTGGGCTCTAGCCCCGCAGGCCGCGTGGGCGCGGGAGCGAGAGGTGGGGACCCACACGCACACACGCGCACGCACACCCACGTTATAAAGATGATGAAACTCCATTTCTCACGTCCTATTTGTGCTACTCTTTGCCAAAGGCTTAGTTTCTCTTCTCGCCTTGCTCCCTCACCTTTCAATCTCCTGCTTTAATCTCCCAAATTAAAGCAATTAAGATTGTGGCTGGAATGGCCCAGATTTTCCTTTGCCGACAAACGAACGCCTAAGGTGCGCCGAGACACGCAGGAGACTGGCGCGTCCGCGACCCCCGCCCCGCCCCGTGGCTGGCGCCCCGCGGCCAAGCTCCCAGGGGTACCATCTGAGCACCGCGGGCGGCGCGTGCACGAGAGCTCGGGCGGGGTCGTGAGGGGTCCCTACCGACGCTCGGGGACCGTGGGGGAGGGCCGCCGTACGGGGCGGAGGCTCTGCTATCTGGGCGGTGACTTGAGCGGCGCAGCGCGTCCCTCCCGCTGCTCCTGCCGCTGCCGTCGCCTCCCAGGGCTCGGCTCACCCGGCTGAGAAGAGAGTTGTTAGTTCCCGCCGTTTCCATAGCAACTGCAGCCGCGCGGGGATCAGGGTTCGTGAACTGGGCCTGGCGCGCTCCCGGGCCCCTGGGCTTTGCTGGCACGTGGGGTAGGGTCACTGAAGAAGTAGAGAGGTGTGGGGGCTGAAGGGAAGCGTGGTGGCATTATAATGCGGTCATCCTATGAATGGACGCCTAGTGTGTGCCAGGCACAGTGCTAGTGGGAGTCGGGTACAGCAGTGAAGACAGTAACCTGCAGGATTTTTAGTGCCTACCACATTCCTAGCTTTATGCCGAGAAAGGGGTTTTTCACAGCCTCAAGAAGGCTAAATGGCTACATGGTTGGCTGAGCCCCTGAGCCCACACCCATACTGTTTGTGTGGATTAGGTGAGTGTGGGTAATGGGGAAGAGGAGCTTTGAGAATATGAAGTGTTTTGTTCAGTTTCACTCTGGGACATACATATTATGGGACCAGGAAAATTCTCCAGAAAGTTGAAATCTCCCAGCTCACCTCGGCCAGTGTTCTCTGTTTATTCCCCCTAAGACCTCTTGCTACATGTGTCATGTGCAAATCTGATTACTGTGATTCCTAATTCATCATATATGAATAAAATCATCATTGTAATAATTACCATTAATTGATCGCTAACCATGTGCTAGGCATTGCATTAGGCATTTTACGTAGATTATCTAATTTAATGTTCATGATAACCTTCAGAGGTAAATGTTATTCTTTTCTCAGATGAGGATACTGAGATACAGAGAAACCACAGAAACCCACCTCGGATCACAGCAAAAATTCTAACAGCAAAAAGTCTTCTGTGATTCCAGAACCCCCTAAAACCACCATGTAATTCCAAACTGAAGACCGTGTGTGGGACATTACAATCTGGGCAAAGACATTTTTATTAAATTATTTAACGTGTCAACAATACCTTCAGTCAATCACCAAATTCTATTAATTCTACCTTTCAAATATTTCTTGAATCTATTTGTTTATCTCCAAACCCATTTCCACTTTCTGAATTCAGGGCACCATCATCTCCTAAAAGGTCACCCTGTCTCCAATTTTGTCTCCCTACTTACTATTCATTCTCCACAGAACAGCCAGCCTAAAAGACTGGTGAAAATCACAGATCTATTTATGTCACTTTCCATCTTAAAACTCTTCAAATGCTTCCCATGTTTTCCTAAGATGAAATCCAACATCATCAACACTGATTACAAAGCCCTTCCTGCTTTAATTCCCACCTCCCTCATATGACTCTATAGTTTTTCTTTTTCAGGATTTATCTTATCACTTCCTAGAATATTCCTTTGGACATATTTTATGGCCCCTTCTCCCCCTTTGCTATTTATTTGGCTCCTTCCAACTAATACTTCAAGCCCCAACTAAAATGTCATTTCCCCAGGAAAGCTTTCTACCCACCCTCCCAAAATCAGAATAGCCCTACACATATATTTTTCCTCCATAGTTCTTATTAATTATAATTATAAATAATTGTATAATTATATGTTTAATTATGTTTTTGTATACTTGCATGTTTAATCTTTGTAGAATTGTGTGTTTATATGCATAAATTCCATAAGGAAAAGGACTGTGTCCATTTTATTCATCAGTGTATCCCTGGTAAAGAGGTTGACATGTAAATATTGAGTAATTATTAGATGAGTATGCAAAATATATTAAGTTAAAAATTAAGAAAAAGCTTCAAAAAAATGGGAAACCACTCCTCTAAAAGAAAGCATATTTTCAGATTAGCCAAAAAAACACTTGACAACTAAAGAGATTCTAAAACTGATTGCTTAGCCTTAGGCAGAAAATGTACAGCTGGATGCAGAGGGGGATACCTACACGGGAAAGCAGGCTCTCTTACCCAGCGTTGAGTTTCCATAATCTTTCAAGGCAATTGAGATACTTAAGAAGTATGGGACATATTCTGCTAATTTTCCCTTAAAGGGTGTCATCACCTTCACAATTGATGTTCATATCTCAATTCAGAAAGAGCGAGAACTGCAGTTTCTTATAACTGTGTTTCCTAGACACACACTTAGATAATGATGACAGTTTCTGATACGCCCTCAATGCCTCTTGTCAGGTTAACACTATTGCTTCTGGTAATGGCTAAACCGTTCTTCATATCCATGAACTGGGCAGCCTACCCCGGTTGGCTATATCTAAAGTGCTTAAAGGTGTCTGTAAGAGAGAACATCCTCATCTCCTATAAACAACTAAATCATATAGATTCTACCTGCTTAATATGTCTTAAGCCTTCCTGTTCTTATTATCCCCACTGTCTCTCCCTTGGTTTAAAGCTTAGTAAAAATGCTGTCGTATACATTGCCACATGACTAAGGAGTTAAGAATAATAAAAATTAAGTTTCCTACTTCAGTTGACTTTTTGCCTTTTAGAGTGTGAGATCAGTAGTCACAATCTCCTGAAACCAAAAACACTGAACCTTTTTTTTATTTTTTATATTGCTTTCTGTTGTAAAGCAAACCCCCAAAGAAACCTATACCTATTTACCTTTAAATTATACATGAAACTAATATCATATTTATCCAAGTCACTATTTTCTTCCTTTGAAAAACATATACAACTTTATGTTAAGAGATTTGACATCAGTGAAAAAATTGGTAGTTCTTTAGGGCATGATCTGCAAGTCCAACATTAAAATGACAAGTTTACAGGCAGAGAGAAGGAAAATTGAGAGAATTCAAACAGAGAGCTTCTATTTTCTCTGCGTTGCAGAAGGAAATATTATCTTGCCTGGGACTTCCAGCACTTGGTATCATGGCAGGTGTTTAATAAATATTTGTTAAATGAATTGATATGAGAGTGAAGGGTGGTGCGGACATGATTCTGGGTTGAAACTACCCTCACATGTCTGAGAAAGTCAGCACAAAGCCTATCTGAAGGATCACAACTTCTACTCAATCTACAAATAATTCCCACAGATAATGTTCCAAGGAACATGAACTCACAGTCAAAAAGCAAAACTTATAAGAAAAGTAGTGAATGAGAGCCTGAAGAAACAACACACACACACACACACACACACACACACACACACACACACACACAACCAGACCTGAAAAGATTTAAGATACTGGAATTTATCCAGTAAGAGGTTAATATACTAGAATATCCATACCATTAAATATTATTCACTCATAAGAGGGAATGAAGTACTGATATATTTTACAACTTAAAAAACATTATAGTATGGGAAACAAGCCAGACACAGAAGGTCACATATTGTATGATTCCATTTATACAAAATGTCCAGAATAGGTAAATCCAGAGACACATAAAGTAGATTATTGGTTAGCAGAGGATAGGGGGAGGAGGAAATTGGAATGTAAAGGGTGTATTTTTGGGGTGATGTAAATGTTCTGGAATTAGTGGTGATGATTGTACAATATTGTGAATATACTAAAACCCACTGAATTGTACATGTCTTTATATTATTGTTAAATTTTATACCCCTCACTTACATTTAAAATGTTATTGTTACATATTCAAAAGTTAGTAATAATTCTTTTTTTTTAAAAAAAGAGTTGAGATGAATAAGTTTATTCTCATTTAGGAGGACAGGAGGAAGAGAAGGAAGAATGGGGTGAGGTAGAGAGGGAAGGATAGAAGGGGAAAACGGGGAGAGGAGCCACCAGGAGAATAGGAGTAAGATTGTAGGTTCATGTCGGCATTCAGCAAAGAAGAGATTAATGTTAGCAATAGCAATCAGGGAGGGCCACCCAGAGGAGGTGAGTCTTGAGATAGGCCTTGAAGAATTGATTGGATGTGATACAGTGAAGAGATGGAGAGGAAATAAAAGGAGTCTTTGTGAAGAAGAGAAGATAAGCAAAGACAATATGGAGGAATAAGACTGGGGAGACTTCACAAGGCAAATTGTCATCTCTCCCAGACCTGCTCAGGAGATAGTGAAGAGGTCTGTGTCTGTTGGGGAGCCCTTGCTGAAGGACAGTGATGTCACATGGCAGAAAAGTCAGGGACACTGCCTGAGAGGAAGCCCCACCTGTGGTAACCGGTATCTCCTCTGAGGAGTTAAAAGGGAGAGCCTATTTGAGACAATACAAATTGGTAATTGCAATATGACCTCAGGGATAGAAAAAGACAGTCCGAGGAATATAATCAGTAATGTTGTAAATATTTCTTAGGGGGCCAGATGGACCCATGTCCTGTTGGGGAGTCCACTTCATAGTCGATGAAGAGGCCTGACCACCGCACTGTATTTCTGAAGCTGATGTTGAATAATATTGTATGTCAACTATAATTA